GGGCTCCGCCGCCTTCCGGGGCGGGACGGGACGGGGCGCGGGGCGGAGCGCAGCGCAGCGCCCGCCCGAGCGCCCCGCGGCCTCTGCCTTCCCTGCCGGCCGTGGCCTCGCTCCCGGGGAAACCCTTCTCCGGGATTGCTTCGCCTTGGGGCAAGTGTCCTGGGAAACAGTAAAATAAATAAAATAAAATAAAATAAAATAAAATAAAATAAAATAAAATAAAATAAAATAACCCAGCGCTGGGTTTCAGATGCCACCTCTCGTGTGTTTTATGAATTTCTGCTGTATTGTCTGCAACCCCTACCCACGTGAGCGTGTTTGAGTGGGAGACCTCACTGCTTGCTTTAACGGCGCTTGCAAATGAAAGGTTAATTCGGCTTTGCATGCGGTACCTCCCCGCAGGGGAGCACAGCACGATGGCCGCAGCGGAGCGGGGTCCGCAGCCCGCCCGTGGGCCACCCCGGGCCGGGGGCTCCGGCCGCCCCTGGATCCGCCCCTGGATCCGTCCCCTCCTTCCCTCGCCTTGGCGGCCTGCCCGGCGCGCCGCGGCCTGGAGAGGGAGCCCCGCTCCAAGCTGCGGCCGCTCGCGGCCCGGCGCAGGCTCCGCTGCCCTTCCCGGCCCGGACGCGGGCTCCGCGCTGCGCAGCCCCGCGCCCTGCGCGCCCTGGCGCCCRGCGACACGGCTGCTTGGAGCGGGGCTCCTCCCAGGGCGAGCGGGGGAGCTGCTTTGCCTTCCCCTGCCCCGGCTGGGAATTGGGATCCAATGAGGTTTTGCGGTGGGTTTTTGGTGGYTAGTTGCCTTCCTTTGCCAGCAACAACGGAAGCTGTTGCCCTCCTTACTACCTCTTAAGCCTGGCAGATGCTTTATTTCAAAGTGATAACGTTTTCAGAGGTGCAGCCTCACCAGAGCTGAGCAGAGGGGCAGGATCCCCTCCCTTGRCCTGCTGGCAACRTCCTCCTGATGCAGCCAGGAGCCCATTGGCCTTCTTGGCCACGAGGGCACTGCTGCCTCATGGTTCAYTTGGTGTCAACCAGCACTCCAAGGTCCCTCTCTGCGGAGCTGCTCCCCAGCAGGTCAATCCCTAATCTGTACTGATACCTGGGATTATTCCTGCCCAGGTGCAGGACCCTGCACTTGTCCTTGTTGAACCTCATGAGGTTCCTCTCTGCCCAACTCTCCAGCCTGTCCAGGTCCCTCTGGATGGCAGCACAGCCCTCTGGAGTGCCGGCCACTCCACCCAGCTTGAGATCATCCACAAAATTGCTCTGTGCCCTTGTTCAAGTCATTGATGAACAGGTTGAACAGCACTGGGCCCACAACTGACCCCAGGGACAGAGGTGATTTCCATAGGTGGAATGCAGGCAGCTGTGATGCTAATTAAAACACTCAGATGAATGTGTTGTTTGCAAGACACCCACATTCTCAGTCCTTTGTATAAGTCTCCTTGCTGTATTTGGTGGCTTATTATTATTATTATTATTATTATTATTATTATTATTATTTTCTTTCAAAAGGGCAGCTTTGCCTGGGCCTACAGCAGGCCAAGGGTGCAGTGCTTTTCTGCTCCTTTGATTCCCTCTGCTTCTGGTAGGAGAATCAATGGTTGGATTTTTCCTTGTTGGTGTTACGTGCGCATCAGAGTTTCCTTGGGGAGTCGTTAATGTTGTCACCTGTGAGACTGCATAGGGAAGGTAAAATCTCCTTGGGGAACTCTAAGAGCTGCTGGAGAATGGCATTTTGGAGGATCTATGCCCAAGTTCTCCTTGGGTAGTGCAAAAGAACTGCCCCAACCCCGAATGATTTCTGCTCTGTTCTGCAGGGTTTCCCCCTCCTCTCTTTGGGGCTGGACACAGCTGGTGGGAGGGATTTCTGACTGTCAGCAAGAAAAGAAACAAGAGAGCATGTGAGTGAAAGGACCTGGACCTGGGGAAGGCGGGAGGAAAGTTTCCTTTCTCTCCTGAAACTCAGGAAAGCTGCTCTCTGCGTTCCTCGGAATCTGCTCAGGAAGGAAGCTGGGAGCGGTATGGGAGTCTGGCATTAGCTCTGTGCGTGGATTAAGCGGGAACGCTGCCTGCTCTGGAAGAGGCCGGGGGGATGTGGACTTCCCTGCGCACAGGGGAGCAGCCCCCGCTGTTTTCCCTTCCTTTGCTGCGTGCCAGTTCATGCAGGGCTTTATGAAGAGGATCGGCTAAAGCCACCTGGGGCTGCATTCCTGCGCCCAACAAGCTCTTGGGAGCCACCAGGTTTTTGGACCTTGTCGAGATGCAAGAAAGAAAAGTCACTTCAGTTTACTTCACTGCAAGCAAATGAGCATAAGAAGCTAAGTTTGGTTTGGGGAGAAAATACTGACAATCTGTCATAGACTAGTTTCCCATGGACTGAAGAAACCTGCTGAACCGAGCCCATGTGAGAGAAAGCGTCCAGGAGCGATAAATCTGCTCGCAGCGTGAAGCGCGGCATGCTCCACAGCTTTGTTCTGCGCAAGGAGGAGAAGCAGGAGGTGGCCCCGGCGGGGACTCCTGAGGAGTAGGGACTCGCTGATCCTGCTGGAGAAGGGGGCAATTTCCGCACCCTGGGAAGAGAGGGCAGGCGTCGCGATGGAGCTGCACGTGCTGGCACTGTCCTTCGCCCTCGCGCTGCAGGTACCGTCACCTGCGTCTGGGGACCGGCTGCAGCCCCACCTGTGAGTAAGAAGAGAGCGGTGTTTGTGTGGAGCAGGCAAGCCGTGAAACAAGAACGAATGATAAAAATCAAGGGTGAAGGGAGAAGGGGGGGGTGGTTCCATTTTTCTTTATGTAGTCCCAAATATTTATAAAGGTGAAGAGAAACTTGAAAGTTTGGATAGTCATTSCTTGTGGGAGGTAATTCATTGTTTTAACTGAAATGTTGCTGTTGTGTGAGCAGGAGAGGCAGTTACTGCAGTGTAAATAGTCTGGCTGGCTTTTTTTTCCCCCAAATAACTGCTACTTTTTATTGCCCTTGCCTGCATCTCTCACACTACTTTCTTTGTCATTTTTTTTTCTCCTTTTGCTGTTACCCTAGAAGTCCTTCCGTTGTAGTTAAATGTTACAGTTACACTTTGGCATTAATCGTTCGGGCCCTTTGCAAACCGTCGCTGYGAGTTTGGTCTCCGGCCAGAAGAAGACCTCCCGACGCAGGGGGGTCGCTCCGTTTCTTTCTGTAACTGAACGGCGCGCTGCAGCGCGTGCGATCTCCAAACTGCTCTCCCTTATGCTTTAACTTCTTGCTTGAGGACAGAGAGGGCTCCTTATCAGCAGGTCGGAGTTTTAGAGACACTTTTCCTTCAGGTGTTGGAGACTTCGTGTTTCTGCTTTCACAAATGCTTTTAGGCTGTCTTGGATGAGACCCCAGAGATGAGATGGGTGCCAAGGTATCAGAGAAAAGAGGGTGCCAGGCCCTGGGAAGTGCTGTCCTTTCTCATAGGGCGTAGCAGACAGTGCTGCTGGACGCAAATCCACTGTACGGGGCACACAAAAACCTCTCTTCACTGTAATAAATTACACCAAAACATTGCTGCTGCCAAATTCATTTGTGGATCCTTTTCGTTCTTTGTTTAGAAGCGCAGACAGCTCAAAATTGAGATATCTGTGCATTAGCAGCAAAGGACATCCTGARGGTTGGGACATACCCTCCTCTAGGTTTCCTCAAACACAAACTTTGGTCTTTGTTAAACTTGCTGCGTGCTGTTTGTGGAGACATTCCCAGAATGAAGCAGCTTCTCTGGCATCCACCATTAGCACTTGGGCCTATTATGTTAGTGAACTGATGTGTGTGGGGCTTTGCTAGCCGAACAACTCCGCAGTGGCCACATGTGGGAATGACAAGGAAAGATTTTCCAGCAAAGCTATTAGGGGAAACATGCCATTAATCCTAAAGGCATTTCCAGGCTTTCTGTAACAGTGGTGTAATTGAATGTCCTGCAGCAGTAAGATGCCAGCTGCAATCTCTATTCTTCACCATGTCTGAATTATTTAGTTTAAACTTCTGTTATAGAAAGTTTTTGTTTCTTTTTTTTTATAAGAAAACTAAGCCCTTTTAGAATCAGAAGTAGCAGAAACAGTCCCAAACAATGTCTTGTAACTGACTTGTTCAGGGACAAATATTTCCTCCTTCATTCTTAGATAAGAACTACCGAGTCGTATTTGGTGGAGTCGCATTTGGASCGTGATGCTCCTTGTTGCAGTCAGCAGTATGAAGCTGCCTGTACCCGGTGCCACTTCACACCGCTTAAGCCACGTGCACTTGCCTCTGAGCAAGGGCAAATTCCCATGAACTTCTGCTTTCCTGTGACAGGCCAAACGTGTGTGCGGAGCAGGAGCTGGTGATAGTGGGGCGCAGGCAGCCGTGTGTCCGGGCCGTGGCTCGCGCGGTGCGAGTGTGGAAGCAGGACTGCGGCGGGCAGCCGTGGTGCCCGGGCTACCAGTGGAGGTACGTGCTGCTCCTCAGGCTTGGCTCGCCCCTTGGGGGATGGAATCTGTTCTTCCGTAGTGGAGAGGGAGCTCGCTGCAGCTAGCGTGGCGTCTCCGCAGGACACATGCGTGGCTACAGGCACAGCCCGCCCTGTGTGCCAAGGGCAGCAAGGCGAGCGYGGGCTCTGGGCCGGGGCTCTGCTCTGCCCCRGCTCGCTCCTGCTCTGCGCAGGCCRTGCCCGCTGCCGGGGCCAGCCTGGGTGAGGGCGCAGAGCCCTCTGCAAGGTGCTGCAAAGCCCAGCAGCGCTCCGCTGGGGAGCAGGCAGCGCGAGCCCCGGCGCGCGGGCAGAGGGAGCACCGGGGTGCAGGGGGCTCTCCCCGACCGGCGCACTGCGYTTAGCGTGGCCTCCAACACAAAGCTGAGGGCAGAAAGAGACCTGGGGCTCTGCAGCCGCAAATTAGCTCTAACAGAGCTGCTTCATTGGATGTTTGTCTTGGCTGGAACCAGGGCAATCTGGGAGGTGCTGCAAACCCCAAGCGTGTCCGGCTCAAGGAGGCTCTGCCCCTACCTGGGCCGAGTGTGGGTTAGCGACCTGGCTCCTCAGAGCTCTCTGTTGAGGATCCCGAAGCCGTTCAGCGCTTCGGGAACAGAAGATTTATTGTTTGTGCTCAAAAGACGCCCTGTCATTTTTGGTGTGCAGCTTCCTCTCTTCTGGCTAGGTATGACATCTGTTTCCTGTGATCGTGGCATGCTCACAAGATTACTTAATCACATCATGGCCATTATTCTTATAGGTTTAAATGTGTCCGCTTTGCAACGGAGACGGGCCAATGTCATTCTGAAGTTTGACGGGGCTCAAGGCAATCTCACAGTCCAAGGAGGTCTACTGTGCATTGCTAACAGGGAAACTCATATTGAAAGAGAAAAAAATATTCTAGAGAAAAAATACTCATTAAAAAAAAAAAAAACAGGCATAGTTAGGTTTCATTACAGTAAGCTAAGGTGAGGCTGAAAATTATTTTCTCTTTTTGTATCCTGGGGCAAAATTCTCTGCCTTATTGTGGAGTGGTTTGGCTTGCTGTGGTACATTGACCCCTCTGGGTTTTAATCCTCTGAATCAATAGATAATATGCGCTGCCGCTGCTGGGCTTCCTTCCAGCTAGCACGGAGAAGCCTGAGTGTCAGGTTTGCGGGAATACAGCGAGACGAGTGCAGGACGCTGTCAGCCGCTCGGCTGCGGTCTCCAGCTGCTGCTGGCGCGGCGCTGAGGGCTCCGTTCAGAGCAGCCCCACAGGGGCCATCGCCCCCGAGCCCCGGCGCGGCGCAGAGGGCTGCTTGCCTGGCTGAGCGCAACGGGCAGGAGGCTGGGACGGGGCCCTTGGATGGGGCGGTTGTGCAGGAGCTGCTCCGCGCGCACAGGTAGCTGCTCTCAGGATGGAATTAACTMACTAGCTCCGTTGGTGGGAGTCGGAGAGTTCCCTTGCGCGTGACGCCGCGTGCAGGACCAGACTCGGGGCCTTGTAAGGACAGCGCGGAGTTAAGCTGCACCTGCCAGCAATGAATTCAGATGTGCTCGAGGTGGGAAACYGGTGCAGATGTTCAGCTCATCAGAGCAGCATTTGGGTAGCAAGAGGCCTTAACTGAGAGCTGGGAGCCAAGGCCAGGGAAGGAGGTGGATGGAGGACTGTGAATATGTGCAGCAGTGCAAATAATGAACTTTGCAGTGTGGACTTCAGTGCAACTAAGCAATGTGCACAATCCAGGTGCTTCCCTGCCTCCTTAAACAGTTACGAGCCTTTGCAAAATAATAATAGTAGTAGTAGTAGTAGAAGTAATGGTAATAGTAATAATTCCAAGGAAGCATCTTGGACTGGAGACAGCTTTTAAGTCCGGGCTTTAGGAATTCCTCCTACCCTGTAATTGCTGGTAATTATCTTGGTGATGAGATCTGTGTAGCGGTAATAAAACAGTAACCAGTCTGTCTTTTGCCTCTGTGTTAAGAGAAGACTTTGAAATGATAGGTGCCCTGTCTGCTTCCACTTCAAAGGCTGGGAATGCTTCAGTCATAGACGTCCCTTTACACTGTGTAATCCAGGCTTCGACCCGGCGAAGCAAGGAGGGGAAGCGAGACAATCGTGTATGAATATCAAATAGTCCAGTGGGAGAGCTCGGTCCTTGCTGGAAGCCTGCAGGAGAACCCCGAGGGGCTGCGAGGGAGGCTGAGCTTCAGCCTTGGGACTTCAGAGGACAAGTGTGGTGAAAGCTGTTCCAGCGGAGCTCTCCTCGGGCAGCACCTTGTGCCCTGTCTGTTCTCGGGGAGCTCCCGTCGGGCTGCGGGCCACGCTGCGTGGTGCCGCGCGCTCAAGGTGCTCAAGGCACTCGTGGCACTGCCCAGCCCGCGCTGGAGCCGCTCCGGCCGCCGGGAAGCGCCGCCACGGGCTGCACGTGGCCGGGTGGGCGCAGCGCCGGGCCCGGCTCCGCTCGCGCGCGGCACCCAGGCGGCACCTGCTCCCGTTTCCAGGCGGGAGCCGCTCCGGGCAGGGCGGCGGAGCCACCGCTCCAGCGCGGCATCCTTCCCAAACCGCTCCAATTCCCCGGCACGCGCGGCTTTGCACACTCCTKCAAGGAAGTGCTGCCTGTTGCCATAGAGGTTTTCTGATTTGGATGCAGAAGGAAGCGTGCTCGAGCTTCAGAGCAGGGGGACGTTTCTGATATCCTAGCATGTGGATCAACAGTCTTTCCCTTCCACTGCGAATGCGTTTTGCACCAGCACTGCCCCAGCTACGCAGTGGTATTTCTGTGCTGTGCAATGAGGCTGCAGGCCCTGGGCTGGCAGGGAGCGCCCGATTCCAAGAGGATCCACATGGGTCTGAGCTTGAGTGTGAGCTGCTCTGCGGCCTGAGCGACTGGAAATTGCTTCTCAGCTGCTTCTGGAGCACCATTGTTTCCTTCTTAATTTGCTAACAGTCTGTACAAAAGGGTATCTGCTTGCATTTTTCTCAGCGGCGCTTCCATAGGCTGATTGACACAGAATAGCTGAACGCTTCCTTCGGGGGAATTAATAGTTCACCGTTATTTAGGATTTTTTTTTTTTTTGTAGAAACATTCAGACAAAGCGACTGGAATGAGTTAGAATAAATATTTTCCATGGACATGCACAACACGTCTGCTTGGCCAAATGCTTGTTGTTGTTTGTCTGATTTGCTCCAGAGGAGTAGTTTCATGTTCTGCCAAAGTAGCTGTTCAAAAACCAGCTTCAAAAGTCTTCTCTCCCTTTTGATTTTTGTCACACACAGGACAGCAGATTTCCCGGTGACTGCCGGTGTCCCGACTGCCTCCCGGCGCTGCCGTGCGGTGTTTTGCATTACTGCMCAAATCCGTTTGGATTTCACACCCCTCAGCACCACTGCTCGTGTCAGTCGGTGCAATACTTTGCTTCCTTCGTTGTGAGCGCTTTGAGAGAGGAGGAAAACAATTGCTCAGGGCTGTGAAATGGCTCAGAAAAGGGAGGAAGAGCTGGGAATGGTGTAAGAAGCTGGGTACACTGCTCTCCCATGTTCCTAAATAGTAAAAGTAAGTAAAAGTAAAAGTTATAGTAAAAGAAAGAGTGTTTTCTTAGGATCAGTAGTTGTTGCTAGACAAGGTGGGGGAAAAAAAAGCACGTTTAAAGCCCACGTTCCTGATGCCCCGTAGCCAGCGTTGCGTCCCCGTTCTTCGCAGTCCCTGGTTGCAGGGCGCTCCCGCCGACGGCGTGCTGTTGTGTCTCGTTGCAGGGCAGCCTACCACGCGGCGTACAGGCAGGTGTACACGGCGAGCTACCGGCGAGCCTACAGGTGCTGCCCGGGCTGGGCGCGGCGCGGAGCAGAGCCCGCCTGTCTGCACCGTAAGTGTCGCTCCCGYGCGTGGAGCCTTCGCGGGGCGCGCTCGGGGCTGCTGCCTTTCCCTGGGGATTGATCTATTATGTAGGAAAGCGCTCTCTCCCTCCCTTCCTCGCTCTCTCCCTCCCTCTCTTCTTTTGTTCCCTGAAAAGGCTGGGTATACCTGCCTTGTGCTAAGGTGCTTAACGTGAAGGTAAGGAAAATCATGATGTTCCTAGCAAGCCAGTCTTTATTCTGCCCATTCAAAAGCCTGCAATACAGGAGAGCAGCCCCACTGTGTCAGTGGAAACTCCGGCGGAGCGGCTGGAGCAGAGGATGTGCCCGGGCTCTTGTGCCAACTCCTGCCCCCGTGAAGGAGGCGAGGAGGCAGGAGGTCGCTGCATGGAAACTGCGATGGAAAAGGCTAAAAAACGCACCCTTGGTAGCTGATCCAGAATGTGGGGATGCTGCTATGGATGCTCTGTCACCTGAGAGCTGGCCAGGAATCACTAGTGCCACCTGGCCGGGTTTGGGCGTGATGGACATGATGTCGGGAGGTCAYAACGGGAAGGAGGGAGAGTAACGGGTGTGCCTGGGGCTGCAGGTCAGGAGAGACCGTGTGGCTGCTGCAGGGCAGGGTGGAAGCACCGGAGTCGCTTCTGAACAAACCTGGTGGGGCGAGTGAAAGGGCCAGGGCTCCAGCCAGCCGGGCCGAGCCTGCCGCAGCCGTGGGGCCGGTGCCGCCGCCTGGGCTTGCTCCTTGCGGACCTGGGCTTGCTCCTTGCAGACCTGGGCTTGCTCCTTGCAGACCCTGGGCTTGCTCCTTGCAGACC